CCGCCGCCTTCTTGAGCTTCTTTTCCGCCGCCGCCTTGTTCTTGCCCATAAAATGGGGGTCCGGTGACAATAAACTTCACACGCAACAAATGTCTTTATTAACTGTCGACTCAACCTCTACCGACCCTGATGCCGGATACTAAGGAGAGTGCCGTCGTAATAAAAGAACACCTGAGCGATCACTAACTCAACACTAGCCGCCGTGAAAGGTCGCAACTGAACCTTCGCCTGAGCTAGATAGAGTAACCTTACAACCTACGAGCTATGCCCCTGGAAGTAAGTCCTTGTTGTCAACCAGGAAGTGCTACCAACTGTAGAGAGTTGATAACGCAGAGGAAATTGTAAACTGATTGATTGGCGTTATCTACATCTACATGCATGACTACTGTGACTATACTATATCTAATGCTATACATACGTGCGCTCTGCAGAAGGAACTTCTGGTGTCCATGGCCGAGCACGCCGCACGCCAATCGACCTTGGTCGTAAACTGACGTCAACAGTGACGTCTGTTCTGATTGGTCGATAACCCTATGACGCCACTGGAATGACGTCGCTACAGATCTACTGTAGTTCACTACTGTTATACGCTGATGGCAAGTTATTACATACATTGTGGCTTGCTTGAATAGTACGCTCGATGGATCCTCGAAGCATGCACCACACGTGCAGGGCAACGTTGTGGTGATGGGCAACACAATTCCATGACCGGACTGGTCGAGGCATTGAAAACCTCTACTGGTTTTGGCCTGGTCAATGCTGATCTTGCACGTAGCAAGTGGAACGATGTCTTCCACCACGAGCTCCTTACTTTGCACCATTGTATTTGGTGTACACCAATCGTGTTCCCACACGCCTCGGTCGATGCAGTTACATGTCTGAACTTGAGGGACACCGCACACGACTGACACTCCCACACGTCATGGCCAACAACCTTCAGAACAACTCTGTCCAGCGGGCCTGGTTTATAGCACACACTCACAAACACATCGCCATGAGTGTGATAATCCAGGACGAATTGGATTCCTGGCGATATAGCTGCCAAGTCAGCATCGTCGGGCGTTGGTTCGTTGACGACAAGGCTCTGAGCTGACCTATTACAACTTCACATGCGATACAGTAGTTATAACAAACTCACCGAACGTGAATACATTCGGTCGAATCCCCACATTGTAGCTCGCAATCGTTGCGGCTTTCGAAAGTCGCAGCCTGTGCAAACACCATTCTTGTCGATATGTAGCGTTGCGTGGCGCGGCATGTCGTGCAGTAGTAGAGTTCGCACGTTGTCATGTCGACAAAAGTGTACAGGATCCTGAACACATGAGCAGCGTTCCCCCCAAACGTCAATTGCTTGAAGTTGTTACTGGCCGATGGGAGTAGGTACAGGTATCCTATTTGCTACGTGAGGGGTTCTCAATTTCATTCCACATACCGGGGACAAGCGAGAATTATTTCTCGAATTGGTTAACACACTGATGTACGTACGCTGTAATGTTGTCGGAGCTCAATCCGTCGTCGTCGGCAGTCTGGTAATCCATTCCGTCAAGGATGTCGGCGTTACTTGCCACGCCGTCGTTGAAGTTGAAGTCGCGTTCTTCCCGGGCAACTTCATTCTCATTTTCAAACGTGTCGTGGGCGACATGAAAAGTGTCCCCGAGTGAAATGGAATGACCGAAGGAACCACTACGTCTATGGTCGATAAAGTTCGCATCAAACCATTAAACCATTCTTCATGGTGTCGTTGGGTTGCTACCATTGTCTCGAAGTCGGAACGCACCCTCTCGTCCAAACACCGCAGCCGAGCTCGTTTTGGTTGCAATTCATCACCTTACACCTTGATTTAGATCACACGTAGAGTTCATGAGATTGTTACTGCCAGCGAGATCTCGAACTGCACAAGGAGTGTCCCCGTTATGACGTACCCAGCACCTTAAGTAGCGCTGCATCGAATTCGTTTTGTCACCAAAGGTCACACAAGCGAACTTGATAAATTCATACATTTCGTTCAATCAATCGCCGCAATAATGATTGGTCCTGCTAAAATTAGAGGGTCACCTTCCATTTTACTCAAGAACATCAGCCGCCTCCTCAACGGAGAAGCCGTGGACGGAGATGACACGATCGCTGCAGGCAACAGTGCTAGCTTACATCAATCCGTGAGATTCAGTGTGTTCAGTGTGGGCTCGAGTGCCGTCATCCGCATGAGTGCATCCATTCGGGGGCGAGTTAAGACGGCTCACACGACAGTCGTTACTTGATCAAGGTGGCCGGTGTTGTCTTACCCGGCGACGGCAGGAAATCAAGAAGTCGTTACATTGAGCAATGCATTACAGCCACGTTGGAACTTCAACAAAATTCAAGTCTAACTACTGCTGTAGGATGGCAAAAGCTGGATATTTGAAGAGCTTCCAAGACGCCGCAGGTAAGTACGCCACGGCAAATACACCGCATACATTCCGCTGGGTGTATATCACAGCTGTCATTAAGGGGATAGAAGGTGTTGTACGTAGTGTTCACTTGACAAATGTACTATACGACTTTTACCCCGTAGAGTTGGCATTTTCCACGGGGCTGGTCAACCAACGTGGCGAGGCTGCTGCCATGTACAGTACACTGCATTGTTTTAGGAGTGGGGGGCCATGTGTATTCCCACAACTTTAGGAAGTTTGAATATGCGTACGTTCAACTGGTTATACGTTTACTCACGACACATGTTAGTCGGACTCACAGTCCTCGTGTCGATTAAACGACTGCAAAAACAAGTACGCAATGTCCACGTCATGCCCATGCGCAAATCAGTAGCGGATGCGCAATGTATTGGGAGAGCCCGTCGAGCATTGCTTCAGGCACTACCAACGTACACGAGTAGAAGTGATCACACTGCATCGGTAAAACATAACCACATATCCATACACAACTATATGCTACTTTTTAACGAGTAACGCATATCATAGCTTGTAATATTGGATACAAGAGAGCCGATAGATTCACGTGTTCATGTTTTAAAGTCGTTCGAAAACTACGTCGATAACACTGCAGCTGGACGCACGATCATGCATGCCGCTGCATCATCGTACAAGAACCTGAGACGCGTTCGTAGCACATACAGCGCATGCGAGTATCACGATAGCCTTGTAGAGGTAACACGTTGAATGGCGGTGTATATTAAATAGAAATGTGAATAGAGGGCACGTGAGTTGGTGTCTGAATCTCTTAATGCACTTAAGCCGTCATGGCTGCCTCATTCAATATGGGCACCTCCGAATACCCTACCTCGAAATGACCTCCTCAAACTTTGCCAATTGTCTCTTGAAAAAATGTACGGCACTGGTGGCATCGACGACACCGAAATCTTGATGCGGACAAGTGATTGTCGTTCTCTGTAAAATGGCAGTTATACTGGTAGCACTCTTTATCCTTTATCAGAAAGACGTTCTGTAATACGACGAAGCTGTCCTTGATGATTAAATGAAACTTGTGGGCTAGAGGACTTCAAATTCGGCATATTTTTCATTCACACTTAGTTAACAGGTTGTAGAACCCATAGCGTTTGCATTCAAGGGTACGACCTGCATGAGTTGGTGCAGCACTGTGCACGTCAACTTTATAATACAGTACCGGTATACCACATGTCCAGCGTCGCATGTATACATCACAACATTTTGTGCATATCGTGACATACAAGTTGTCGTACAAATATACAGTAGTATTACATTTTTCGTTCGGATCAGTGTTGCCTGCTCTTATTGTGGTATTGCACTTTGAAGTACTTCGCTGTCCTGGAGTGATGTTATGGTGTTTGGGAACACCGGCACGAATGCGTCTCCGACTGTCGTCATCGCGCATCGTACGGCAGTCGGGAAGGCGGTGTTCAGGCGAACCGCAGTAGGAGCAGGAGTTGAAATGATGCTTGTGGTAATACGAGTGTGGCAGTGGATCTAGGAAGGGGCTGCCGCTGCGGTGTAGATAGACGCAGGTTGGGTGGTGGTAGGCGTAGCGTACAAGGCGGTAGGGGTCGTAGAATAGCAGCGCCAACTCGGCGTCGACAGGATTCGGAATCACAAGAGCCTTGATCCGACAGCATCAGAGTGCGCTGAGAGGCAATGTTCAAGGTTTGGCGGATAGTGGCCTTGGTGGCAATGGGCGTGCATTCGGAGCTGCCCTCATGCGCCTTGAACTCGAGCAGACAAACTGTATCCCACACGTCTTTATTTGCAGCAAAGGCGTTTTAGTATAAAAGGGTTCAAAAGAGCTCGATAAGCTTCACGTGGCCTTCGCGAACCGTTAGAGCGTCGGCGTCGCAGCGAGGGTTGCCGTTTCGATCATGTTGATCTGGTCGTCGAGTGTAATGAAGAGGGTTTCGGCACTGATATCCTCGGTGTACTTGAGTTGTGTGATACTAGCAAACAGGATCATGGGGCCACGGGTACCAGCTTCATGGCGCGCCATAAGTGAGGCCCAGAGGGAGAAGGCAGAGACGTACGATCTGATGGCTTCTTGGAGGATATACGTGAAGGAGTTGAAAGAAAACACCTTAGCTTGGACGCGTAATACAGCGAGAGACTCCGCGATGTACAAAATTGTGCGTCAAGTCATGTTCGAGGCGTTTCACTGCCGCAAGGCGCTGTTCCAAGGCGTCGCCAGCACAACAGTATGTAAAGTACTTCGCGTCGTTTCGTATCGAGTTGTCTTGGAGTTTGGCCTGCGTGATGGTGTAGGCGTCGGTTTCGATGTGCGTAGGACAGTAGGTCTCGTTGGTGTAGAGGGAGAAGAAGCTTGAGGTCATGGCCGCTTCTTCAAAAGTGATCTGCCACGCAGCATAGAACTTGTAGGCGTCGTCGAGAAGAATGCCGGAGTAGGCGAAGATGGGCGAAGCAGGAAGGCTCATAACCTGCCGCGATGTAGGAAACATGAGGTAGGCGTAGGTCTTAGGCGTTTAGCAACTTTGCGCAGTGTCAAAGACAAGCTAAGTGTTCAGGACAGGGGAAAACGGAAAGTGATATTCAGTCGTTTACAGACTGATGGACTAGGCGATAGAGTTTGGGAGACTTGACAAAAGGTGCGACAAAAGGCGTGAACACATTGAAAAGCACCACTTGACACAAATGTCATCACATAACCAAACTATTCAAGCTTCATGATCAGTTAGGTATGTATATACACACTACTAGTACTTCGTAGTAGTACATACATATACTACAGTATGGGCAGTACAGTTGGCCTCAAAACCAGTGACTGTGTGTTTAGTTAAAGATGAGCCATTTTAGAATTTGTCGACTGACAATTCGAAGTCACAGAGTCATGTTTTAGTGACCAAGTCATTGGTTTGAAACACATGCATTGGTAAATATCTCACCACTTGACCAATGATCCAGTGAGCGAATATATTTCTCGGTCTTTGGGTAAAATGTAAATAACTTTGGAAATCACTCGGTCACTTCCTAAAAAGCAATATAGACTTTTCGATTTACGAAGGACAAATGGATTAGACAGATTTCGCAAACGCCAGTTCTATTCTATCCACATCCTATCCTATATGACTGAATAAATATAGAACCGACCTGCAAAAACTTGTTGTATCGGCTGCAAATCTCGCTGAATTTGTGGCGAGGTGGCTATCCGCTGTATCCGAATAACACTACTGGTCTTGCACGACGCCGGCATGAATGACGAGGTTGCGACCGACATCACCGAGGGCCAGCAGGCTCGCAAATGGTGGAGCGACGCCGACGACATGAGTCTGTTGACTCAAGTCAACATTGACCTGCCCTTCAAGCAAGCGAAGAACACAACGAAGGCGTGGGATGCGGTGGCGAACAAGCTCCGCCAAGTTCATGGGTTTGGCAGGATTGGGCTGGACGGCAAGAAGGCCTCCAGCCGCTTCTACCAATTGCTGCGGGTCCACAGGAAGTTCCAAGAGAGCTCAAAGTACCTCTCCGGCGTGGAACAAGACGAGACAGGCAAGATCATGCTTCTGGACGAGTTGATTCAACTCTTCGACGAGGCCAGCGACGAACGGCAAGCCGAACGAGCAACGACGGCCGCCAAGGCCACCGAAAAGGAGGCCGCCGCGGGATATATGCGGGAGCAAGCAATGATGCGGGGTCGCCGTAAGTCCAATGAAGGCGACGATTCCACCGACAGCGACGTGGCAAGTCGCAAACGAAAGGCTATTTTCGAAACTCAAGAGCGCGAAATTGCGTTGGAACACGAGCGACTCGAGTTTAAGAAGTATAAATTTGAGATGGAGCTACAGGAAAGAGAAAAGGACAGGATGGAAAGAATCCAGCAACGCGAGGACGAAAGAAATAGAAATGATGACATGATGGACCTCATCCGTCACTTGCTTCACCGCTAAATTGAAAATACACTTTTACACATTCGATTTATTAGTTGCCATCATTTGGTAGCTGTAAATACTCCTCTAGAGATGGCGGTGTAAGGTTGAAGTAGCTACTAATTTGATTTCCACCGTGATAACAACAGTAGCAATTAGTAAACAACATTGCAACCATAATCACCTTGCCCACACTTTGCAACATAATTTTTTGTTGCATCTTGTATCCCACCATCGCCCAATTTTTCTTCATAATCCCGAAGGACCACTCAACTGACTGGCGGACTTTGCCCATGGACGAGTTAAACTCGTTCCTTCTGTCGTCCAGATCACTGCCTTTGTAGCCGGAGCAAATCCACTCCAACACGCCATTCGCCGGGTCACCATAAACCAAAAAGTCGCGAAATAAATCGCGCCTAGCGTCCAAATACGCTTCGAGTTTGCTCAGCCGCAAGAGCGTGGTGTCATGTCGTGACCCCTCGACCGCCCCCCCAAAAGTGCACACACAGTCCGTCTGGAGCAGTCACTGCCTGAAAATTCAGGCAGGTCTGCGCTTGTGGCCGCTGTAGATCAACCGCTGCAGGTCGGCAAAATTTGATGCAAAACGGTCGCGCTTCTGAGTGATGCGGCATATTTCAAACTTGCTGCCATCAATAAACCCAAAGATGTTGTCCATGTATGATCCCTTGGTCTTGACGACAGCGGAGTACATCACGAGTCTTGGAACGACGATTGAGAAGCTATTACGTCGTTAAAGATACGACAAATAGACTCTCGTGACCGGCCAAACGTCGCCATGATGTCGTAGTAGCGGCGAGGGTAGGACATGCGGTAGAGCGTGATACATAGAGCTTCCGATGCAAAACAGCGATCGCGGGACGATGTCACAACAACTTCGGGCGACCACAAGGCGTTGGACGCCAGCGACGTCAAATCGGAACTTCAATCGGGAGTCGGCGTCAGTGATAGTTTGCAGGGTGATGGGTCGCTCAACAACGCATGCCAGTAACCGAAGTAGACGCAGCCGCTGGCGAAGCTTGCTGGTGCGCCGCTGCTTAAGAAGCACCTCGATTTCTTGGCAGGACAGCATTCAGAGTGTGCTTGGCTAGCCAGTGATAAGCTACATGTAATTTTGATTGGCTGATATCAACTGGATAGAACTAGTTTGCAGCGGATAACTTGCGAAATTCGAGTTTGATTTTGATGTATCCTATCTGGGTTCTATCGTTTGGAATGCGGATAGAATAGAACTGACGTTTGCGAAATCTGTCTATTGTGGGATATAATTTCCATTCAAATTTGCATAAAACGATATTATCCATATTAAAATTCACAAGCAAAGTTAACATACAAAGAGCAAGTGTATGTTGGAACATTCACTTGGAATGCGCCATGGAGCTACAGTAGCTACATATGACCAAAACTGTCCGAGGTCCTAGAGGACGCCAACGTTCTACACGCCCGTATTGGGAATGGTTTTGAGGCCAATTATTCCGTACTTGGGGTACTCATCGATGTATTCAGGTTTGTGCAAGATGATTCACAAGCCTTTCGATTCGGATACGGAGAGATGGCCAAAATTGTTGGTTTTTCCTAATTCTTCCTTCCAGAACTACACTCTTCATCAATACTACGTAGTACTACATAGTACAAGAGATTGACCAAGACGTCTTTAATACTAGTAGTAGTCATATACTATTAATACGTAGTAGTACCACGTACTGGTACTTAACAAGAGAGCTCGTTTGGACACGTCATAAGAGAGCTCTTGAGGACTTGTTCCATCCCGAGGGCTGTATAGCATTTCTATATTTTTTATATAAGCGATCACTTCGACTTATAGTTTGTACAGCGTATCTGGCGCATTTTCCAAAACCGTCGTATGCGTACAAAGTCACTCGTTCCAGTACATGAAAACATGTTGTTCACATGAATTTTCGCCTCACTACTAGTAATAGTATACAGTACAGTACTACAAACTGCGCCTTCTTCATGTGATAAATTGCATGAAGAATAGCGACACTCGTGAATGAGTGTGTTGCCACAGCCGCGACCACGTTGCTCGTCAGTTTCAAGCACAAAGTTGGAAGGATTTACTGTTAAACAGACAATGTATTGAATTTTTACAAAGAGTTGGTAGCACACTACAGCATTTAGCACGCGGGCTTGGTGGTGGAAGGCACAGGGGTGGACGAGGTCGACGACGCCTTGTTGGCGTTGATGCGGCCGTACCCGAAGTCATTGTTGGGGTACTTGGAGTTGTCCACACCACCGCAGTTGGCAGTCGAGGGCTTCAACGTGGCCGTGTCGACGGTGTTGGCGAGCAACTTGTACACAGTTTCGTAGGTGGCACCAGGGTTGGCGTTAACAATCAAAGCAACGGCGCCAGCAACGTGGGGAGCAGCCATGGAGGTACCCGAGAAGGTGGCGTAGGCGGTGTCGGAGGCCGAGCCAGCCGAGCGGATCGAGCGACCGGGGGCAGACACATCCGGCTTGATGCGCTTCTGGAGGGGTTCCGGGCCCTTGGAACTTAGGCTGGCCAAGGCGTCGTCGCTGTCCGTGGCGCCCACACCGATCACGGACGGGGAGTCACCGGGGGAGCCGACGGTGCCGCAGTTGGGGCCAGCGTTGCCGTTGGAGAAGACAGGCACGATGCCAGCCTTGCGCCACGCGAGGATGGCGGCTTCGTACCAGGTGTTGCCGTTTTGGTTGGAGCCCCACGAGTTGTTGACCACGTGGGGGGCGAGCTTGCAGTCGGGGTTGTTGCCGTCCGTGTCGGTGGGGCACGTGATGTACTGGGCGCACGCCAACAAGTCGGTTTGGGGGCACGAGCCGGCGGGGCATCCGACGCACGCGATCCACTTGGCTTCGGGGGCTACACCGATGCCGTTGAGGCCGGCGATGGTGCCGGTGACGTGGGTGCCGTGTCCGTGGCGATCGTTGGGGAGCTTGGACTTGGTGGAGGGTTCGTACCAGCCGTTGGCCGAGCGGAAGTTGGCTTGCAACGTTTCGTGGGTGAGGCGGACACCCGTGTCGATGGAAGACACGACGGAGCCCTTGCCCTTGTTGCCGCGAGCCCACGCCTTGGGCGCGTCGACAATGTTGATACCCCATTCCACGGTCGAGTTTTGGACGCTGAGGTCGGCGGGCACTTCGACGAGTTCAGGCAGTTTGTACACTTCCACAGGGGCCACGCTCACCACGTTGCGGAGGGCGGCCAACTGGTTGACGAGTTCCTTGGACGCACCCTTGACGTAAACGTACTGGGCAATCCAGTATGCTTCGTATTCCACACCAGCCGCCTTGGCGAGTTCCACAGCGTCCGCCGTGACGATCGCCGATTCGGCCTGCAGCGTGCTAAGCACAGCTTGGGCGCGGTCTTCACGAGGCAATGACTCAGTATCGAGCTTGGAGAGGCCGCTTTCGCCGTCGAAGTGGACGAGGACGTCGACAGTGCTGGAGGTTTCCAACTCACGAAGGGTGCGAACGGACACGGTGGCGGCGGCGGAGGCCGAGAGGGCAGCGAAGAGAGCAATGCGAACCATTGTGGTGGGAAACAGCAAAATGAGGAATGACCTTGAACGGCATCGCTAGGACTGGGTGGTATTTCGCATGTCGAAGGCCAGGTTTTGGCCCATGGATATAGCTAATTCAGACTCCCCGGTGGCCGTACAGTACAATGGTTCGTGGTGAATAACGGTACTGTAGTACACAATTCATAGTGAACAATTTATAGTGCATCCACATTCCACCCTTTATGCCAGTCAATGGCCGCATTATACGGTACCGCAAGGAATTGCAATGTAGTACAGTGGTACAAGGAACGATGGATATATTGTACTTCGAAATCCTACGCTGTCCCGGAGCGGTGTTATGGCGAGCTCGTCGATGGTCTCGATGAGTGGTGCTTGGATGTGGTGGATCGCTTTTGGTCGTCGAGTGAGTCCTTCAAGATCGAAGGACACCAAGCTAGCTGCATGTGGCGACTCCCCAGATAGCATTACACATACCGGGTATAATAACCCCACCCTCGATCTAATTTGTTATCAGAATGCTTGGCTGTGTTTTGGATAAATCAGAGCTGATCTCACGCGCAATTCAATACTAGGGGGGCTGTACAGTACTCCTGTACTACGTGTAGTACGTTCAGTACACTGCACGGCCTCGTGGTCATGCATATGATGAGGGCGCGCCATCCAAGCAAACCGGTAGGTATCATGTTATTAAATAGCACTGTAGTGCATGTTCCCCAATTGCCACTTGATGGTGAAGTAAAACTGTGCGGAGCGATCATGTATTCGCTCCACGCAGTTTAATGATTTGGGACCCCGTTGATTGATGTGGTACCTCTACCTGGTAGTATGTTACTCTGCTCCATTGGCCACAATGTCCCACCAGTACTGTACAGTTCGAACATTTGCCAGATCCTCCCCTTCTGGTGCTTGCACTCAGTTCTCCATCTAACGTTATGTACCAGCCTCAACGGACATGGCATTGATATGGTTTGTACTTGCTGCCACCCCAGACCAAACAAAATAACCAAACTCCAATTGCAGAAAACAGCTACTACCTTCCTGCCACCTTTCGTTTTCTCGGTGGCGGGTCCAACACCCCCTGGTATTGGAGTCTGGATTTTTCACATGAGTATCTGACTAAAATTAGTGGTGTACTAGGGGTAACTTAATGACATGTGGCAAGTGTCTTTCCAATCATGTGTTTATGATTAATTGAGTTTTGGATTATCATTTTTAAGACATTCCTCCGCGAGGGCCGACACTAGAACCACATGTTATGGAACCGCTTCGCCAATTGTAACGCGCCTGCTCAACCAGGGGCGGTGTGTAA